ATTACGTCTCTTTACACTGTCATTCCTAATGGCGAAGGCCTTCTGGCCCTTAAACATTTTTTTGATCAACGTACTGTTAAGGAACCTAAATCTGAAACACTACTACGCTTAGCCGAACTAGTGCTCACACTCAATTGTTTTTCATTCGGAAACAACTTCTTCAAACAAACCAATGGTGTAGCCATGGGCACCAAAATGGGACCTAGCTATGCCAATCTTTTTGTAGGTTTTGTCGAACATCAATTTTTCAGCCAATACAACGGGTCCAAACCTGAACTCTACGGTCGCTACATCGACGACTGTATCGGCGCTACCTCCTCTACCAGAGAGGAGCTCACTCAATTCATAACCGCAGTCAATTCTTTTCACCCGGCTCTGAAATATACCTGGGAAATTTCTGACAATTCTTTATCCTTTTTAGACATCAAAGTTTCAATTGAAGGTAACGGTTTATGCACTAGTGTGTATTACAAACCTACAGACTCGCATAATTACTTGTTATATTCGTCTTCGCATCCATCTCACGTTAAGAATTCCATTCCTTTTTCTCAGTTTCTAAGACTTCGTCGTTTATGTAGTGATGACTCTGATTTCCACCACAAATCAGAGTCAATGTGCCAGTTTTTCGATAAACGTGGTTACCCTGTTTCTGTCGTTCAAGCGGGTTACCACCGCGCCCAACTTATTGATCGACATTCAGCACTACAAACGTCGCATAAGGAAGATTCCGACCGCATTCCATTCACTCTCACGTTTCACCCTCACAACCACTCAGTTAAATCCATCATTCTTAAAAACTTTAAATTACTTCAAAACGATCCAGAGACAAGCACTATCTTTTCGCAGCCTCCGCTCATTTCATTCAAACGCGACAAAAACATAGGCAATTTTTTGGTCAGAAGTTCTTTTCAGACTAATGACCAACCAGGCACTTTTAAATGCGCTCGTGCACGATGCAAAACGTGTCCTTTCATTCACAACACTGATAAAATATCGGGACCTAAACGATCCATTAAGATCACCGATCACTTCACGTGCACCTCCGCCAATGTAATCTATTGCATAACTTGCACTTATTGCAAAAAGATATACATCGGCGAAACAGGCAGAAGACTAGGTGACCGATTCCGAGAACACCTTCGAGACGTGGAAAGGAATGACAAGGACACATCGAAACCAGTCGCTAGACATTTTAATTTACCTAATCATTCTAAGCAACATATGGCAATCTGCGGTCTTTCCTTGCACTTAGGTGGCACGGAAAGCCGTAAAAATCTTGAACAAAAGCTCATCTTTCAAACCGGCAGTCTAAATCCCACAGGGATCAATGAACGCTTTTCATTCCACTAATTTATTCATGTTTTTCTCGTTGCCATGCACCCACCAATAACGTAGCTCCATTTTCTGCCTTTAAAAGCACACACAACCCACAATTCCTCTATTCGCTCCGACGAAGGGCTAACGCTCGAAACGTCAGCTTTTGTAATCATTACGGTGGCCAATTTACCATTTCAACTTTGTTGATATATCCAAATTATTCTGTTCAACTGTGTTTCACAGAATGAAAATCAGAAAGAGAAAACAAAAAACCTGAATTTTCCACATATATACAAAGTGCTAAATTTGAAGACAACAAACATTGGTTTAAGCAAGCTTCAATAAACAAAACAATTTTTTACACCATTTTTAACATGTTTAAGCTTTGGTGGGAATGGGATATAAGAAGATAACTTCTCATTATGAATGAAAGACTGCAAAACTTGTAGCATAGTAACATAATCATTGTAACATAAGATATGTAGTTTTGTCTTACGATGGAATAAAGACTATTATCATTATTATTATTAAAACTGAGTTTTAAAATTTTTTCTTTAGGAGGGGGGTACACTTGGCAAGGTTTCATAGAAGCAGTGCACCTAGTATTCCTAAATAACAAACATCTTTCACTCAGAATGTGTCCAGGAAAAGTATTGTCAATGGCAGATTCATCCTATCTTGAACAAAGGAGAGAATTGAAGGATGCTTTTCAAAATCTTTTCTCCCATCTTTCTGCCTTCTCAATCCATTTTATGGACAGACTTTGGATTTACTTTAAGATTTTGAGCGATACCTAGCATACACTCGCAAAAATAGAGCCACAAACACAATAATCACACCAAACACAGCTTGAGCTGTCAGAGGGTGGTTATACAGGATACAAGACAGAAGTATGCTCAGCATCATCCGCGTGGTCATGATAATGGTGAAGACAATTGGACCAAATGATTGAATGGTGTAAAAAATAAACAGCTGTCCTGTTGCCGACATGAAAGACAACAATATAGCATGGAATGCAAACTCTGGGTGACTTAGTGCGAACCAAACTGAGGACAAGAAGCTACCACCTTCAATCATTGACCACATTGTAAACAAACTGGAAAAGAGATTAGTCCCTAACATCATCTGCATGGAGGACATCTTGTATTGACTGAAAAGTTCTGACTGCCAATTGGAAGTGAAACTGTCAAACGCCATATACCCCAAGAGAATAACAGCACCTGAAAATGTTGTAGCTGCAGCAGTGCGCTTTCCAGATGGATCAGCTGCCAAGAGAAAGAGGCTAACCCCACCAGAAAGGAGAACTGCCACAACATATTCATAATATTGATACGTTTTCTTTGACACTATTTTCCCCATGATCATAACAGGGATTATTTTTGATGCTTTACACAGGACTTGCGTTGGAAAACTGACAAATTTCAGTGCCTCATACTGACACCAGCTGCTCATGATGTTTGAAAAGGAAGAGTATGAATACTTGTACAGTGGAGCGGTGTGACGTGGTTGTCGTGTGAATACTATGTAAACAAGGGCTAGAGTCAAAGCCAAAATGCGGTTAATGAATACAAGGAACTGAGAGTTTTGGAATTTCACAGGTTCAACTGTCCCATCAGCCTTGTGTTCCTCATAAGTTCTTGTCATAATTCGTTCCTGTAAGACTCCCCATGTGAGATAAGATATTTGAAGGCCTCCGGCACAAAAAAGAAGCTTGACAGTTGTCTGAGAAAAACCTGCAGGTGGAGCAGGGTCTTCATTTGGAGAGCTTGGTTTACTGCCACCATCCTCAATGCTTGAAGTAGCCGGTGGTGAGCCAAACACACAAAGCTGGACAGAACGGAAGAGGCAACCTGTTCCTGTAAGCAGAAAACAAATAGAAAACCATAAATATCTTAGTAATTTGGATATATCAACAAAGTTGAAATGGTAAATTAGCCACTGTAATGATTACAAAAGCTGACGTTTCGAGTGTTAGCCCTTTGTCGGAGCGAATAGAGGAATTGTGGGTTGTGTGTGCTTTTAAAGGCAGAAAATGGAGCTACGTTATTGGTGGGTGCATGGCAACGAGAAAAACATGAATAAATTAGTGGAATGAAAAGCGTTCATTGATCCCTGTGGGATTTAGACTGCCGGTTTGNTTTTGAAATGTATAGACAGAGTATGGAGAATATGCATACTGATGGTTGGGTGGAAAGGATTATATAGCATGGTCTGCACTTATGCAATAATGAATCCAGCAGTCTCCACAGTAATCTCTCTCACATAATGGTATTTATTTCATAAACCTTTTTCTGATGCTCAACCAAACATTTTAATAGCCTATTATCATTTCCATAGAAACTTCAATCTGGGCATTTTTACATTTGATTGGGTTTACAGGGGGAAAAAATGGCACAATGAATATATGAAGTTCATATATTTTGAACTGCGGTATTAAATATGTGTGATGCACGATCCTTCGCAGTAGATAGTGCTATTTAAGCAATAGCGAAAATCAGACCTGAAAAAAAAAAATCAGGCCTGTACGGGATTCGAACCACTGACCTCTGTGATACTAGTGCAGTGCTCTACCAATTGAGCTAACAAGCCAACAGGCCTGATTTTTTTCAGGTCTGATTTTCGCTATTGCATAAATAGCACTATCTACTGCGAAGGACCGTGCATCATACGTAAAAAAAAATGGTCTCGGTTCACTAGCTGACCTCAAGAAGGAAATTCATGAGGTACACCTCCATGGCAGTTATACTCCTTTTTGTCCATTCATATTGCCTGAGGGTTTCTCTACCCGATTAAACTGAAAATTGTCTGTTATTTTCTACCAAAAGAGAAAAACTGCGAGGTAATTTGTATCCACGAAAAAGAACGTAAACGGTTACATGGGCAATGCTCGTCAATGGTTTCCTGAGGGTTATTAGAGGAAACATGAATTCAGTAAAAATAGGCTATTCAATTATCGCTTGTCTCAACCGACACTAGTGGGCAGCAGATATGTTTGAAAACCTGTTCAGAATGAGAGGAGCTGATCTTTCTTGACAAATACTCGCTACTTTCCACCCACAAGCGGGAAGCACATGGTACAGACAATCAACATTAGCTTTCCAAAACTACTGTCTGACCTTTTAATACCGCAGAGACTTAAGAATCCTTACACGTATACGTGAACCTTTAGACTTACCGCTTCGTTCGTTGAAGTTTGAGTTCTTGAGCATACGAATAATGAAAGCCCCGGGTATGATAATGGTCGCATACCCGAGAAGATTCCATGACAGATTCATGATCCAGTTGTCACCAGCAGAAACTTCACGGCCACCCTCTTTAACGTTTACTCCTGGGTCACTCTCAGTATTTTCTGCGTTTTCATCTCCTGTCACTTGAACGCCGTATATTGCTACAGAAAGTAGCAAAACTAGTGAACGCACAACGCTAATAGCGTGAACCCCACGAAACATCTTGAATTGTGGAACGAGATTTGCGAAATCGTGCTTGATAGTCAACACTTCAGACACTGCGGTCGTTCTTAAAAGCTACCAAAATCCTCTACAAACCATTCAAAAAGGTAGGATTTTCATTTCATATTGAATATTCATAGCACTGCACTTTGCCACGTACAAAACTATTGACCACCGCCATGACAGCAAATTCACAACAGCAAGCATGACGGTTCGGGTCCAGTTTCCGCATCCATTTTCAATCCCCCGATGCCTTGCAAAACGCTAACAGAAAAGAAAAGAAGAAAAAAGAAAAAAACGAAAAACGAAGAGGAAAGAAAAGGAAATTGGAACGTGAATGAAAGGTAGGAAAAGTCTACTAATACGATAAATCCATGTTGAAGAATGTTTTTTTTCCATTTTTTTCTATTTCTCCTGCAAAAGTTTGCGATGACCACCCCCCAGCAATTTGCTTCCTGGTGCAGTATGCGATAATTTTATCGACCCCCACTGGCCACTAGACACTGAATTAGCTAAACAATCTACAGCTCGGGCGGCTCAAGCGCACAAATAACACTTTTAATGATGAGCTATTCAAATGCAACAAGAAGCTACTTCAAAAGGAAATAATCTTTCGTTCCCGGAATGATAACTGTAGGGGCGTTTTCGCCCGTCAGATGTCCATTACGTTCATAATGCATTTTTTCTCAGTTCTAACCAGTTAGAAGCATTAAACCTGAAATAAAATTTTTTACTTCAAATACTACTGCTCTATTTCTTTTTACGAACCTCATCTGCTTATTCCTGTTTTCAATATGTTTACCTCGGCCATCTGCTATCGTTCTAGTGATTGCGATCTGGTTTTACCGAATGACCCTATCATATGACTAGATTTTGTTACGAGCCCCTTTTTTTTTTTTTTTTATTTCTTATTTTTATTCCTGCTATTCACACACTGGAAGAAAAAAAATGCACAAGAACAGCCAAAGCCGGAGGCTTAAATGGCCTAAGGTCAGCAAGAAGACGTGAAGAATTTACAGGAGTAGAAGAAAGCTTTAACTAAAATAATTACAATACAATTAAACCAAGAAAGAAAAGGTCAGTCAGAAAAAAAAACAACTTACAATTGCGATACAATACTTGGCAACTAGTTTAAATATTTAAACGAATAATAATAAATTCCTATAAACCACACAAACAGATACAAACAAATACACCTAACTATAGTCCCATAAGGTATACAGATTATGCGTAGGCTAATTAACCACTCAGAGAAAAATACAGTCTTAAGTTTTTTTTATTATGGTTGCTTACTGCGAGATTATTGCGCACAGATAAAGGAATATCATTCCAAATAATAGGAGCTTGCCAAGTGATAGCAAGTTGATACTTATGACAGGCCTTTTATGCAGGTTAAAACGTGAATGAGTCAAATAATTGTGATATTCATAATTAAAATGAAGCATTGAGGAAACAGGAGCAGGTAAAAGGTTATTAAAATGTGAGAATACAAAACAGGCAGCATAGAATTTATAAATAGAGTAAAGTGAAAGAATATTATGCCTCACTCGCTCCAGGGGGCGGGAAGATGAGAGATCCTGGGAACGAGGTTGAGGTGTTTAGAGGATGTGCGCGGAGGAGAAAAAGTAATTATACAAACGGCTTTCTTTAAAGTACACAAAGGGATTTAAGGTAAGAAGAATAAGTAGATGCCCATATTAAACTGCCATAATTTATGTAAGGTAAGAAAAGAGAATCATATAAGGTTTTCAAAGTATTCAAAGGTAAGTATCGCCTTGATTTGCACAAGACTCCTATTACTTTAAAGACTTTATCACAGACAGCAGAGATATGCGGTTCCAAGATAAATTTTCATGAATGGTAATCCTGAGAAATTTGTCTTCTCGTACATGCATGATGAGAGAATTATTTATATAACTATGTTTATATCTGAGGAGTTAATTTGTTTACGTCGAGGGTGAAAAATGATGAATTTAGACTTGGCACTGAAGATAAACAGTGAGTTTGTTTGAACCAAAAGGAAACACGTGAGAGCTCTACACTGAGAATGGTTGCTAAGGTATCCAGGTCACTATGAAGAAGAAAGATATTTGTCTCATCAGCAAAGAGATTAGGGACCTTAAGAAACCACGACGGCGACGGCAACGAGGACGTGGAAAAACAAGAGATCTAATTGGCAGAACAGAAGCTCGGCACGTGCGTTTTGAAACTTTGTACATTTCTTAGCCGTCCTATGGAAAACAACAACGTAAAATCGCCAAAATTTGCGTCGTCTGCGAACTGAAACCGCGACGGCAAATTATTTTAATTTCCATTTGGTACTCAACGGCTACTTATACGTCATGCTGAAATTGAGCTGTGGCGCTGTATGAGACAGTAAGCTCCTGCAGCCATTTTTGAAATTCTAACTAAGAGTAGAAATTTATTTTTTAATCGAAGTCTTCCTTGGCGTCGCCATCGTGGTTTCTTAAAGTCCCTAATGATAGACAAGTGGTTGGAGACATGAAAAAGATCATTAATGTATAAAAGAAAAAGTAGAGGTCCAAGAACTGAACCATGGGGAACCCCACAAACGACCGGATTATATGAAGAGGGATGGTCATAGACCACAATGCACTGCTGTCTGTGGGACAAATAGTTAGTCAGCCAGGTCAATGGGATACCTTTAATGCCATAAAAAGTTAGTTTATCCAGAAGTATTTCATGATTGACTGTATCAAATGCTCTCTTAAGATCAATGAAGACTCCAACAGTGTACTGATTGTTTTCAAAACTTTCATAAATATTATTGACAAGTTCTAAGATGGCCATAGCAGTAGAGTGATGTGGTCTGAATCCATGCTGGTGATCATTAAGGATATTAAACTTTGTGAGAAATCCTGAGGTAAAAAAGTTTCTCGAAGACCTTAGAAAGACAGCCGGAGAATAGAAATAGGCCGATAGTTTGAGAACAAAGAAGGGTCATCACTTTTAAAAACTGGGATAATCTTTGCGATTTTGAGTTTATCAGGGTAGACACCATGCTCAAACGATAGATTGCAAATATGAGATAAAGGAGCAGCAAGTAAATCAGTTTCTTTGATGGGAGACATAGAAAGACCATCCACACCCTCACATTTGCTATCTTTTAGACAATCAACAATAGAGGCATTATCAGTTAACGCAAAAAGAGAAAAAAATTTGCGTGTTTGACTAAATATAGCTTCAGTCTATTCTGAAATCACTGCATTTTTTCATTTCAGAGCAAACTAAACAAAAACTGCCACGCAACGCACAAATTATGGCCGACATGCGAAATTCATTTTGAACATTGGAATCCAGGTTGTTCCCGATCAAAAGCTATCTGTTATGACAAATCGGCGACAACCAAATCACAAGCAACGTTAGTCAACTCACCGACACCTTAGGCTTAGTTTCGATGGTCGTCTTCAGTCAACTCGTTCACGGTACCTGGGGTCGACTCGCCAACACTGTTCAAGGTTAACTCAGCGACTCGGGAGATGACATGATTAAATTTCTTAAAAGCCTTTAAAAGCACACACAACCCACAATTCCTCTATTCGCTCCGACGAAGGGCTAACGCTCGAAACGTCAGCTTTTGTAATCGTTACGGTGACCAATTTACCATTTCAACTTTGTTGATATATCCAAATTA